TTCGTTTCTCCACACACTCGGAATGAAGGTTAAAAATAGAGTGGCAAAATTAAATGTCATGTCATGAAGAAATCACTGATATGGTCAAAGCGTGGCCTGCACGGGAGGAAGAATGGACCAGGTGTGGAGGGTGAGGAAAACCTGGCATCCTGCAACATAATTTAAAAACGAAAACAAAAGTATTTTATGGGAGAAGAAAAGAACACGAGTAGAAAGTAATGATGAAGAGCAAAAGAGACAAAAACTAGTGCAGTACAAGCAAAAGTAAATGTTGGAGGCGAGGAAAAAAAAACAAAACACTCCATATGTTTGAGTGTTGCTGAACTAGAGTCCACCCCTAAAAGGTGTTGAAGTGGTGAGAAAAATCGAATTTATTTCCACCGTATAAAGACACACACAATATACTTTAACAGCTGGCTCCAGGTCGCACAGACCACTCCTGATTTATACTGAGGAGGGAAGGCGCCGGGCAGATGTTGAGAGGCCTGTGTGTAAAATCGAGCCCATTTGAATACACCCACGAGTCTGCGGGGGTGTCGTGGCTGCACGGGCGGGTGAGCGCACGCGGGTGTGTGCATTAATTGGCGGGCAGCTTGAGACTCAGGTCTGGCAGGAGTGATAAAGCAGGGCCCATTAAAATCCAGCATTCAAAAATCCCCACACCCCTGCCTCTCCATAAACTCGCCTTTACTAATTAAGGCGTGACTTTCTTCACGTCTTTCTCTCGCCCCCTTCTCTTCCTTTCAATCACGCCGTTTAATGGCCGACACTTTCCTTTAATTCTGACACATGGCTGCAGCGAGAGACGTTTTCCATTAGGGCAGCGGAAAGGTCCCGTCTCTCACCGACAAAGTTCCAGATGGCGTGTGAGAAACTTCTTGAAACCACCGCTCGCTTAAATCTGCTTTCGTCCCATGTCATCCATTTTGAGAAACGGGCCAATCGCTCTGCAGAGACTTTATTTGAAGTTAACCGAGGGAAAACACTGAGGTATTGGGCGAAGACTGTAGTGGTTCACTTACAACTCCACAATCTCCTCATTCACTGGCTGTTCACACATACAACTGCAGTTGTTTCCATCCCTGCAGGGCAGACACGGTGTATTCTGAACCTGACTCTTCCTGCTGCTAATGCTGTTTACGTTCCGCCTTCCGGCAGCCATTCTCCCTAATTCCTCCGAACAATGGAACAGAAAAGCCAACGCAGTGAGAACAAGGATCCTCTCTTTCTTATTTTCTTGCCAGAAGGTAACTTCCAGACTGCTGACATGGACGCCCTCTGGTTTCCTTCGAACAAGCGCTGCTAAACAAATATATTCCCAAAGGACCAGCTCTACCTTTGACCGTCACTGCAATCACTGCCTGCCACAGAACACGGAAGAAAGAGCGGTGAATCCTCGCTATCTTGTCCTCAACAAATGAGTGCCTGGGTTTCTGGGATTTATGTGAGCCCTGGGCTTATGCTGTTGTGGGCCGGTCATGGTTAATCTGCAATTGTTGTCAAGGTGTGAAATGTATTCCACTGTTAAATCATATGCAGGGGTCTTTACTGAGGTAGGGTTCCGCATACACACGCATACGTTCCCGCGCAGGTTCTTGATTTGCTGCCTTACTTTTATACACTTCACAGAATTGTTTTCGACAAGTGCAAACCCACTTTAATGGCCTCATGGACGGTTGCCTGAGGGCGGTAGACAAGAGAGGGAAAGAGAGAGAGAAGATTTTTCCACATGACCTTGATTTCCTGGTGCAAATAATCACATGGATAGTTTTCTGGATGACTGATGAAGTCTGTGGCCGAGTTGGTGACTTGAATGAGAAGACTGAGACGAAACGAGCTCGAGGTAGAGAGAATAAAAGGTCTTCATATAAAAACCCTCAGCTGCATATATTCCTTACTTTCTCTCCTTGCTTCCTTTATGGCGGCCGTGTGAATCGACCTTTATGTTTAGATGAAGCCAGGAGCTAATTCTGACGGCCATAAATCTTACTCGCATACATATGTGAGTTTATTATGTGTGATTTTAATTTTTTTTTGCATTTTCTCGCTTTATTTCTATTTGTTTTTCCATATCTGGTGTGCTGCACGCTTTTTTGGCTGTGTCCCAATTCAACGGTGTGACTAGGCTGTCCAATTTCAAAGGCTCCTCAACAAATGCGTCCTTTTATTCTCAAGCAATTAAGTACTCAACTATAGCGGATCCTTTCAAGCCTACCTATCCCAGACACTATTACGCGCCAGTGGCAAAGCTAACCTGTCAATGGGAAATTCGTAGCTGACGATGCAATGGTAAGTCTCATTTCAGTTCAGCCCTCGTTGGTCTACAAAGAACGCACATTCATACAACAATTTATCTAAAGGATGCCGCATCTATTTTTAATCTAAAGAGGGGGTTTGGCATTTCCTTAAATATACAGAACTAAATCTGTCCATAAAGGTGACAGCGAGAGGATTGAAAACGATCCAGAGAGATGGTTTTTAATAATATATCTGACAAAGCTGATTTAGTCTTTTTTTAAATCCACATGTGAAAAAGTGTTTTATTGTCTTGCAGCTCATTGTTCTGATCTAATTTCTGCCAAGGAGGTTATGTTTTTGTTTGCTTTTGTCTGTTTTTGTCTCTTAGTCAGCAGGATTAAGCAAAAACTGCCGAACGGATTACCATAAAATTTGGTGGAAGGAAGCGGTATGGGTTGGGAAAGAGCCTGTTTAATTGTGGTGCAAAGCCAGGAAAATGTTCTCCCTTTCTTCAACATTGTGGGATAGAGCTTATTTTTATTTCTCAGAGAGTAATTCATGGATCAGACATGTTTAATCGACTGATATTTATGAGTGTGCGTGCAGATCCAAATAAAAATCCAGATCTAGTGAATTTAAATGTGGTTTCATAAGGGGACTGTTGGGCAGAGGTCTGTCTATCCAGTGCCATTCTTTTGGTTCACTTTGCCACTTTCAATATGAGGCAAATTGTGATTTGTGAGTATTGGCTGCGATTGATGACTTTTTTGGTTAAAAAAAAAAAAGCTCTGATAAACCCTCTGTGCACTACCAGCCCTGTATGAATGCTAATGTTGCACCGCATCTGCTGTATTTGCAAAAAGGCAACTGTTAACAAACAGGTCACTTGGTGCAGGAGTCATTAGTACAACAAGGACAACAACACAACAAGAGGACAACAGCGAGGACACAACAACGGTGCGTCCTCTCTGCTTTTATTGCATCATATCTCACCAACTCAGTGTGTTTGTCCTATGCTGTGTCTCCGAATAAAGAGGGAGGTATTTGTTTACCACTGGGATGTGGCTGTCACAGGCGATAATTTATTAGTCACACTTGCACATCATCAGCAGAATATTCATAACACACCCACGTCAACGACCCGCAACACAGCAACTCTACAGTACTTGGGGGACCTGCCACTAACAGGACATTTCATACCGTCTGTGTGAAACTTTAGAGAAAACACTGCCACGGGTTGTTTCCACCTGATCGTGCCAATTTAACAGCATTAAAGTAGACTGTGGCATGTCGAGGAGCTGCGTCTGCATGTCTCACACAAACAAACACTGAGAGACCTCCGCCTACATCTACAGAGCAATCGAGTTCAGTGTGGTGCTCCCACATCCTGTCAAACCCTCGGTGTCATAACACCTGGCGTCCAGAAGTCAGAGACCAGACAAACAGAACGGAGGGTTTCAGCAAAGGCTGGAAAATCTACCCCTGGTTAAGGAGCGGTGAAGTGATGAGTGGCTCGTGGAAACATGGTGAAAGACGGCAACACAAATATAACATTACCAGTAGGAGGAATCAGACATGAACTTCAGGGAATGTCCACACGAGTTTGCCCTTCACATATGAAGAACGCAGCATAGGATTCTCTGGTCAGATGCGTTCACAACAGCAGGTAAATCTTCGGAGCGGAGGTGAAGGGTGGGACCTCATGCAGAGGGAGGACATGATGTATGGCGAGCACATGTTTTTGTCTACAGCACATCAACACAGGCGTCTGCCCTCATCGCCAAAAGTTCTCGAATCTCATCTTTCTAACGTGATGTCTTTGTTGGAGACGTGTATGGCTCCTCTGTTTCATCCTGAGATGTTTGTTTTCTATTTGTTTTTCTCCGTTTTGTGCCTGTGGCGTGTTAGAAACTAGAATCTCCTGCTGTATTCTAACATGGGCTCACTTCACAGTATCTGGATTTTTTACTAGGACGCTTGTATGAGAAACAATAGAAAAAAAAAACCTCGGCCATTTGTGTCCTCACACACAGCAGCCATGGAGAATGTCCGGAGATTATCCAGAGATCAGAGCATGTCTGAAAGCAGCTTAAAAAAGTTATAGCAGCACAGAAATATAGATGGAGGGAATCAGGCACTCGGTTTTCAGGCGATAAAGACAGAATGAGAAAGATATGAGGCTTCAAAAATGACACCAAAGTTGTGTGAAGGAAGAGAAACTCCTGCAGAACTGCTGCTCTGCTGCTGATGATCGTCGCCATGATGTCGATAACCTGGGGCTTGTTAACAGATTCATTCCATACACACACCAGTGATCTCTTTCTCCTCATCTCGCCCTCCCACTCAAAGTACAGGCTATACACGAGGCGTGTGGGCTCTCGCTTGAAACTTCATCTCGACAATTAAGCCTCACTCATCTCTGAGCCTTTGCCTGAGGTGCCGAGCACCACTGCTGGGAGAGAAATTGGTTCAGCGGAGTGTGCGGCAGAGAAAATATAAAGTCTAAGAAGAAGTGCAGGAGATACGAAGAGAGAGAATGAGGAGGGGAGTAATGACATATGGAGGAATGGAATGGGAATAGAAGAAAAACTGAGATTTTAAATGAGTTGATCTGCAGGTATAGAGACATTCAGGGTGACAGAAAGGATGATATTTTCTGCAGCTGTGGAGAAACAGGTCCATGGAAACCTTCCAGTCACCGCCGTGTACTGTTTAACACAGGGTGCAGGTGAATGCCCCCTTTTTTCGATGGGTCAGCTTACCCCAACCTCCACGTGATCCGAGCCCTTGTCATCCTGCTTGTGGAGAATCTCAAAGTAGTATCGTCTGGATGAAATCAGGCTGCAGGGAAACAGGGAAACAAGTATGGTTAGATATTTTACTCCTTCCCATATGCTGGGGTGCAGTGGGGTCTGACAAGAAGAAATGTTTGTCTGTGTCGGGTTAGGCGATTATAGAGTAATAAATTCTTGCTGTGTTGAGACCGAGAGACATCACAGACTTCATGCTGCTCTCCGGCCAATCACCGTTTGACATCTTTTACCACTTTCATAAAATCTCCAGAAAGGAACTGCTCGCGACTGACTTCCAGGGCCAAGAACGTAAAACACGGCGACTGAGGCCGTTGTCTTTCCTCCGTTTCACAGCTCCACTTACGACACCGCCATCGTTCCTCTTTCGCATCACCGCGATGTTGTGTAGCCTGACCTCAGCGTTATGATGACATACCACAAAGTAACTGTATGGAGACTTACCAGAAATACAACTGTGAGCAATATTGAGTCACCACAAACTAAAAAGAGATTACGGCAAAAAGAATTTGACTTGTGACAGTTGCACACAAACAGGTTAATCAGCATTAAATATAACTCAGCGCTAGAGGCAAGATGGCAAAAGAGTCGTCAGAGAGCGGGGATATTATCATCCGCTGGTCCTGAATAAAACACGACTTTCAAGACGGGAAGGAAGAAAATCGATGCTCCACATAAATCAACATTTTACATTTATACAAGAGTCTGTATTTCTCTGAAAACCCTGGTTAGACTGAGTAAAGGTCTGATTTAAAGTTTTACTGCACACACACAGACACAGACAGAGAGCAAAATTGCTTTATTCTTATTAAAAGCACATCTCGGATAATAGGGCAGCATCTGTTGCTGAATGAGAGACACCCGAGCACTGCTCCACACACCATTAACTCTCACAACACACACACAGCCACAGTCCCATACACAACACACTGTGTAGCAGTGAATAAAACCACGTTTCTGTGTGTAGACAAGTACAATACACATCTGCAATAAAGGCAAAATCCAAATCCTTTAAATAAGATCGTGTAAATTATGTTTGCTGCAGCCTGGTTAATTTGTAACTGTAACGTTTGCTCCTGAGAACTTTGAAGTCACGTGGCTCTGCTCCAAGTTTATGTGCTCTGATTCACTGTGACATGTGATGACTCCTGTTTTTTTCTATTCCTGTTCATTTTCTGTGTCTGCATCTGTTTCCTGAGATTTCCCCCCGTCTCTCTGCTGTCTCCAGTTTGTCTCAAACACAAAGCAAACGCAGGCTCATCCTCTTTGAAGTCTTTGTTTTCAATTGAAAATGTTCACCTCAAAAAACGGCAGATACGATAGAAAAAAAAAAAAAGACATTGCAAGCAAGTAAACACATCGCTACATGGTACAAGTGCATGTATAAAACTGTTGAATCTTTGAGTCTGTATAGGTCCCAGGAGTCAATGTGAACGTTGTTCTGTTCTTTGCAGACCAATCAAGAGTCGGTCTCAGCTGTTTCACCCCATTTTTACAGCATGAAATAACTAACGAAATCTAAATTTAGCGACTGGAGAAGTGAACACTTGACAGAAAGTTTATTTGAGAAAAAAAAAAGTGACTTTAACTTTACATTTGTAGCCGCGTACCGTTGATCCACACATCTAGTCCTGTAAGTGGCGGTAAAGCACCAGTAAGCTGGTTTGCCAGGAGAAGAAGAAGAAGAAGTGGCCACCAGGGGACGTGGACTTGTGTTGCTGTGTGTGCGTTTGCTCAGAATGTGGTTTAGTGAGTTGAGAGGGAAGGACAATGGCTGAGTGGTCACATGTTGCCCTCATGCAAAAACACCTCCACATCCTCCGGCTGCCCAGCGTTCTGTAACCAATAAATCCGTGCAGGTGCAGGGGGCAGTGACAGCGTGCTAAGGTCACTCTCTCATGAATAGGGAACATCTCTGTGCAGCTGCTGAAATGGCTCTCAGCGAACATAAGTGGCACTTTCAGCTCCTGGCACCCGCTTGCCTTTTCCCAAACGTTTCAAACACAACGCCACCGCTAAACCCCAGATGTACTTAGAGAGAGAGAGAAGATAAAAAAGCTTGTTTTAATTACATTTCAGACAAAAAATTGCAGTGGAAAGTCTCATCGGAAGAGATTAGATAATCTGAAAGTTTAATGAATACAATGAATATGTGGGGAGATCGAGTAATCACAATTATCTCGTCTGCAGGATGGAGGAAGTTTTGTCTGTAATGACGGATAAATATCAGATAAAATTATTATTATGAGACACGACTGCTTTTTAAAAAGAGCCAATTGAATCACACTGTCCCGATTCCAACAAATTCAATGTTAGACGGACATGTAACATTTCTCTTTTACCAGCCTTCATCTATAGACGGTTTAAGGAAATATATAATAGTATAATAGTATATTTCCCGACCACTCATTCAGCTGTCTGTTTCAGGCCATAATCTGACTCCATGTGGGGGATAATCTAATGTCAGAGCACAGAGGATGCAGTCTGCCGCCACAGAGTTTCATGAGTCAGGCCGATACACAACTACAGACATGCACACACGTAAACAATAGAGCATCAGCGCCACTTAAAGTGACAAAACATTGTATATTTCAAAATAAAGTTGATATATTACGAAAATTCGGTTGTAATATTACGATAAAAAAGTTGAATAAAATTGTAATCTTACAATGGAAAAGTGTTAATACAATGCAAATAAAGTCATAATTGTAGGCTGATGTTTTTTTTTATATATATATTCTCATAATGTTATGGGTTTTATTTTCTATTAATATTAAAAGTGTTACTGTCAAAAACTCTTCAAATGGCCCAAACATTCCGTCGGACACGTAATATAAATAATCTATAAATAACAATCACACATATGTGAACTCATCTTCAACATTTCGCTGCCTGTCAACATTTGAGGATCTCTCTTTTTTTTATGTCGCTGTCAGAAATATAAATCACACATAAGACACACAAAGAGCCTGAAGCGGTGACAGCTCGGCCAATAAAAAACCTGTTTACCTGCTATAAGATGGCAGATCAGACACAGCGTGTGCACGTGCGCGCTCACACACACACGCACACACACACGCACACACACGCTTGCCACAGATAGCATATCAGCACAGTGAGATTGAAGCAAACAAAAGGATCATAACAGTGAGATGGATAAACAGAGGGACAGAGCAGAACATTGAGTCATATCCACACACTTCTCTATCTTTTGTTTAGCTATTTCCTTTTGTTATTTTTCTCTTTGTGATTTGAAGTTCTCTTTAGATGCCAATACAATTTCAGTTTTGGTCTACAGGCTATAATTTGGTTCCCCTGTTATAAGGAGACATTTGGTTCCTGCGGGACTGTGATTCCGCAGCGGTCGGCTGATACTTGTCTCTTCTTTTTAAAAACTTTGCTTCGCTTCTTTGTGTCTGCGTCTTGTTTTTGTTTTCAGTTTGGTGTCAAGAAGATGGATCTTGTTTGGGGGAAAGTAAAAGTCGGAAATTAATCATGATCTGTCCGAATACAGATGGACGACAGACGACGGAGAGAGATGTGAAGGGAATTTGAAACTGAATATGAAATGAGATTACTGTGTCCAAAAGTCTTCTGTTAAACTCTGGAGAGGAAGACGGAGAACGACAGAGGCAAACGAAGCAGCACAAAGAAGGAGGGACAGTAGTGTTTGGTGTGTGTCTGTGTGTGTCTGCGTGTGTGTGTGTAGTCTGGTCACATCAGTCTGCCTGTGATGGATGACAAAGCAGGCTCTGGCTGAAAGAGATGAAGAGACAGGCGGAGAAGAAAGATGAAGGAGCAGCGATAAATAGCAAATGAACAGCAGAAACGGAGAGAGGGAATTATACAGTAAATGCCTTCCATGTCTTGAAAGGAAAAATATATTACAATGAATATCACTGAGACGTGATTCTGTATTGAACGCCATACCAGACGAGGGGGGGGGGGGCATAAAAGACCAAGTGAAGGGTAAATGAGAGATGGAAGAGGAGAGAATAGCTATTAGCATGTGATTGGGAGGATGAGTAGAGGACACAAAACAGGAGTCTAATTGCCTGACTAATTGGAGTCTTTGTTTCCAGCTTCCCTGCTTTGGGCTGAGCAGATAGAGACAGACAAAGGAGGCTGACTGGGCTGGATAACACCAGACAGGACAATACTGTGGGACAGTGTCACGGCTGCCCAGAGTCTGCTGGATCTGAAGGATGAAATATTTATTTGGCACCAAACATATGGAGACTTTTTCTTCTTCTTTTTTTTTTGGTTACTGCTGAGAGACAAAACCCTTTCACAAGCATCACAAAGGAGAAATGTGTGGCTGTGGGTTTGTCTAAAAAATACAAAAGCTTGGGTGCACAACATCCTGAAGACTGACAGACAGCTGACACACACACACACACACACACACAGAGATGCACACAAACATAGGGGAGTTGCAGATGGGTAAGCACCCTCCCATTTTCTCAAATGAAAATGGCTTCAATGTGTGGTTAGGATGTGTGTATTCACTTTGTAGTTCATTTCTTATTTTGACACTAAAAAGAAAAGTTTGAAAGACGTGGTTTGGAATCATGTATTTTTTTCAGGGGGGGTTTTGGTTTGGATTGATGTTGGGCCCCCAGGACCCTTATGCCGTGCGGCCCCCAAAATCTCTTGACACGCTCCTGCACAAACACACTCACACAGTCTATGTCACTAACCTGGTTTGCAGTGAGCAGAATGAAGAGGCATGGAGACTCTCTGTTATTCTAACTTCATCTCACCATCTCCTTTCTGCCCGCTGGCTACAACAATTCCCAGATTCTACTTTTCCACTATCTGCTCTCCTCCTCCTCCTCCTAGATTTCTCATTAATGCTATCTGACTTGTCACTCTGCCCCGTGTCGTTCAGCCTCTCTCGCCCGACTCCTTCCTCCTCCAATACCCACAGGTGGCCTTTGAATAAAAGACGGTGTTCGGCGAGCGCTCTCGTCTAAATTACATTAATGATAGCGGTGTTTAGGGCTGCCCCAAGGAGATGCACGAACGTCA